TATCTAAAAAGGCTTCAAGTTAGCCGATGAATTAATTAAATTTTATTCTTGGTTAAAATAAAAATAATAAAGCGAATGAAAAACATCTCGACGTTTTTGTGTCCTATCAATGGCAAGTCCGTTTGTTTGAGTCCAACAAATCAGCGAGTTTATTCAAGGCATTTGCAACGATACGAAGTTCATGAACGATCTCCGGATTATGACGGCAAGTGCATTCTGTGTGGTTTCCATTGACGTCAAAGTCATCATCCATGCCAGTGGACATTTGCATGACGTCGTCATAGTTCTGAAAATCAAAAGTTAATTCATTTATTTTTGTTCTCTTCGTTTTGGCCAAAACTTTGAATGAGACCGGTACTTACATCCAAATCGATTGTGTAATCATCGGGCTTGTTTGGTGTGCTACCACAGGTTAATCCGATGATCGAATTCCGATGGTCTTCCGAATTGGCTGCGTCCAATTCATGTGACTTGCTCAGTAATGAATCATCTGTTGTTTGATTGCTTGAACCGCCTGCAACGTCTGATGTTTTCTCCTTTTGTTGCTTGGTTACTTGACTCATGTCAATTCCATCATATTCCGGTTCTGGTTCCGTATACAATTTTTTCAATTGGCCTTTCTTCTGTGGCACTGTTTTCTGTTTCGTTCCAGCAACTTCGAGGATGTTTTGTAATCCATCAATTTCCGTTCGAAGCTCATTGCTCAATTTGATGACATCCACTGATGTCTTGCTCATTGCCATTTCGTTGATTTTGCTGAAATTCTCAAGAATTCGCTTGCACCATTTCGATGAATTGGTACATTGTTCATTTGGTGCCTCTTCCACTTGTTGCATTAAAGCATTGTCTTTCTGAAATAAATAAACATGTTTCAGTTCAATAAAATATCAGTTTGACATTCTCACATGAAAAGTACCTTTGCCGCTACACCAACTGGCTTCTTTATCTTCATCGTGTATACCTTATTTCGTCGCTTCACCCGGTCCTTTGCTTCGACTTTCATCCGTGGAAATGGTGCCGGTTTCTTCTTCTTTTTTGGCTGTACGGTTCGGCGTTTCTTCTTCGGCGATGGTTCATAGTCTTCCTCGTCAAATTTGAAAATGCCGTCAAATTCGTCAAACTCTTCTTGCTCTCCTTTTTGAAATGAGTTGCGAATCCGGTTCAATGCGTCTGATTTGGCAGTACGACGTTTTTTTAATTGACGATTGGGCTCAGTTTCCGTGCGTCGATCACAGTCTTCGTCCTCGAAATTGTAATCAATTGGCCCATCGCGAGATTGCTTCAAAATCACATGGTCTGAGTAAATATCGCTTGGTCGCTTTTGTCCTTTGCGCGAACCATCCGAACAGCTCTGATTTGACGTTTTTAATTCATCAGCGCGTGTTTCACGACTACAATCATATTCTTTGTACTTCGTTGAACTGATAAGATCGAATCGATTGTTTGATTGATTTGAACCAACTTCTTTCGCATATAAAAACCCGGAATGGAATGGTGCTCTTTCAACAACATCTTCTTCGTCGCTCGAAGAGTGTTTGAGACGGCGGTCATGATTTTTCTCTTTCATCCATCGATTGACTGCATCGGCATTTGATTTGAATAGTGACGTTTCTCGATTATCAATGTCCTCCCACGAACAAACAAGAGGCCAATTACTGCCTGGTCGAAATTGTCCTTTGTGAAGTGGCTTCATTTGACCGAAATCTACAGGGAGTTTTTCAGTTAATTGCAAAAGGTCCGATGGAGTCTTTGGTTTTTTTTCAGTGTAACTCAGGTCATCATCACTTTCGGACGAATAAAACAGTCTCCAATCAGTGTTTGGCCGCATGTAATCACACGACTCCTCTGAACCTTCGTAAAATGTCGATTGAACAATATCACTCGATTGGTCCTTTTGCAATTCAAAGCCACTGGACATCTGAAAACGTTTACACAAAAATTAGATTTTTTATTTTTTAAGATCCAATTTGCATTCTGCTTAATTTACGGAAGTTAGTTCCGGTTACAATGATATCAGGTTAAATACAATGAACCATGTTTGGATTCATTATAAGCTTACCGTGTCAAAGCCTTTTGTCTCAAATGGCAGAGTGAATTTTTCAGGGAGACACTTTTTCAATTTATATTGACTTATTTTGGCATTTTACAATCTATTACACAATTTTCTTTGAGCACAAGATCTTTGCCAATATTACTTGAGTAAATTGGCGAATAATCGATTATAATGAAAAGCCTCGTTGTTCTATGTCGATATGATCTAGCCCGGTATGTCGAATTTCCTCTTAACTACCAGTTGCCATTGCCACTTTTACCTGGACGACTGCCTTTCTTCAAGCGTTTGCTGTATTTTTTGGCGCAAGATTTGACAGATGTATGCGATAAGAGAGCGTCATTATGCACACATATTTACGCTGAGTGTTCATGTATGAGAAGAATGTGTGACCTGTGTTTCATGCGGTGCTATATACGCGTAGAATGGAATCTTTGATGCATATTTGTTTATGAAATATTGTATCGGTTCTAACGGATCTCAAAGAAGTATAATGAAAATGAGTTCAGCATCATGAATGTTGGATACTATAATGTCGATGTTTAGACAAAATGTAAACAAATTGGCTCTGCCTAGAAAATAAGAAACTTTTTATAATTAAACTCGTACCAAGTTTGGCTTTAGTTCCAGGCGACCTATAAATAAAAAGAACACAATGTACCCCATTTAATACGCTTTTTTTTTCTCAACAACAATAGATTCAGCAAATTTATTACTGATTTTTATTTAAATAGAGTACATTTAGGATTAAATTAATTTTTAAATAAATTGATAAATATTTTGGCAATAACATTTTGATTTTTACATAACTACTGCTTTTATGTGACATTTTATGATATTTTTTTTCTAATTTTTTCCATAAGTTTTTGGAGTTTCTTTTTAATTTCTTCTATTCAGATCTTCCCTTTTTCTCGCTATTTTTTGGCATAACTACTGTAAATTATTTAATAGAAATTGACTTTAGAAAATAGTCAACAATGGTAGCTTTTGGGGAAAATCGAATAGAGTTTTTTACATACATTTTATGATGATTTTTTTCGTTCTTTTTTCATGCCAATTAATTTCCGTGAATAAATTAACGAGAAATCACAATGAATCTAGCCAATTTGACTTTTGACAAGTGATTGCAATGCATATCTCTCTGGGAATTTGAGTGATATTTACATAGGTTTGTTTTTTATTGACTCTGGCCTTCTATAAAAAAATGTGTGACTATGTTTGAGCGATGTTCTTAGATGTTCCGCAGTAGCATTCGTCTATAGTTCGATCCAAAATGTTGACTTTAGTCGCCACTTTACCAATATTCTGCAAATAATCTTCAACCATTCGTTCGTTTCTGCGACAGTTTTTGCACTTTTTGATGTTTCCATTCGCATCGATGTCATCGCCATAATTTTCGTTGTGTGAGCCCTGATTTTCCTTTAAAAATGAAAAAAAGGGAATAACATATGAAATCATATAAATTTTTCCAAAACTTACATCATCTTCTGGTTTTGGTTTTTTTGCAGCGGCCAATTTACGATATGAAAAAATGGGATCGCGACGCATGCCACTTTTTGCCATTTCATTGATTGTCGATGCATTTTGTAAAATTCTATCAAATTTTGATTTGCTCGCAATTGCGGTCGTTAAACTATTTGCTGTTATGCTAATTTTTTCCGACATCTCTCCATCACTTGAGTTTGTATTGGACACAAAATCGACTAAAATCACATTTTTATCATCTATTGTTGAGTTCCCTCTTTTTCTTAGTGGATTGAGAATAGGTGCCACTTCATCTTTGCGCTTGAGCGGTGCTTTATTTTTGGATTTTTTTGGTAGTTCAATGGGATCAAAATCAAATTCGTCCGATTCATTGTTGGCCAACTTTTTCTTAGCCATTTCGGATGCACTACGTTTTGGCCGTTGCACCGGTGATTTTTTCACATCTTTTTTCTGCGTTTTAACCGTTTTAGCCGTTTTAAGGGCCACCGTTGATTTCGCTCTTTTGACCGCTGCTTTCGACGATGGTTCGATTGGAGTAGTTGATTTGGCGAGCATAGATTTTGTTTTCGATGGCAGTTCACCTTCATCACTCATATCAATGACTGTTGAATCTTTGTCTCTAAGTTTTCGTTTCGGTCTTTTAACTTCCGACGCTTTTTGAATGGTTTGCTTGATCAATTCTGTTTGTTTAATCAGACTTTCGGATGGTATTTCATTTTTCGTTTGCGAGTGGAATTGGTTTCGATTGGAATATAGTGGTCTGCGTGTTTCGTATTCTATCGGAATGAATTCAATCACATCATCATCGTCGTCAGACATTTCTACATCGGATGATGAAACTATTTCCGTTCTTATCTCAACGTACTCATGTAGTTTGTCGGCATCGATACCCAGCTGTAAGGAAGATAATTAGCATAATGAGATGATGTTCATGAATAGATTATGTTCATACAAAATACACCGCTTACCATTCTGACAAGCAGTTGATTGAGTTGGTTCTTCTGGAAACCACACATGAACAGCATTGTGATGACGTTTGATTTTTGCAGACTAGCCGGCGCTACTTCCATTTCCTCGACATTTTCAAATCGTATCCGATCGCTTAGTTCAAATGATATCATTTTCACATATGGTGTATCATCTCTAGGGCAAAAGAATTGAATGATTGAATTTTCAGTTCATTTGAATTTCAAGTGCCGGAGATCATTTAAAATCAAAATCCACCGGAGATCATTTAAAAAAAACATGACTTACTCTTCGATCAGCACTTTTTTAATCACAGACGCTTCGATGACCACTTTTAAATTGGTGCCATTACCAACATTTCCATTGTTAACGTCGTACGGAATCCAAAATTCAATTGAATTCTCATTGAAATGTACAAATCGTTCATTTTTCTGTCGATAAAAATGAGTACATGTCAAAACCTTCGGTTCGAACGAGAAAATCGTTGCACTTACCGCATCACAATCGATGACTTCATCACCGAATCGCAGACCCCAAACCATTTCCGAATGGATTTTCTGTTGTGATAACCGCCGATTAAAATGGTAGAGAAACCATTGCATGTCCACAAAGTTATTTGTAATTGAAGCAAAATAATCTCCCCGATTGTCTGAAAGCAATGGAATATCTTGGAATATTGTTGGAAGCAATTTTGATGGTCCGGCTTTAGCGTGCTCACAATAGGCATAGACAATTTCCAACAATATTTGTTGCATTGAAATTCTACTGGCAATGACGAGGCATTGCGCACACTTTTTCCTGAAAAAAAAAGAAACCAAAAGATCAGAATGCAAATGAATGCAGCAATAAAACATCGTTCAGTCATTGATTCCATCCGAACATAGACAGTTTTACTTACAACCGTTCGACGTTGATTGGAGGGACGGTACTCGGCATGTTCTTTACACACAAGCGCCACTGTCTCAATACACCGTAAAGTAACTCAACATGCGCACCTATGGCCGGACATAATTCGCACAATAACTCGCTAATTTTTAGGAAATACTTATCAAAACCAACGGATATTCGGTGCTCTGTCAAAATCTGTGGAATGATTCAAAATTTATGAGCTCAAACCACATAGAACACCATACTATACTTAGCGAAATGTGCAAAAACATTAAAATGATCGGCAAAAAATCGGTCAAACTCACCGTTAACACTCTCAAATGGCTGATGAAATCTTCTTGGAAAAGGCTAATCTGTCCGTAACACAAATGTTCCGCCATATATTCCAGAACCATAAAGAGATTCTTCATTGAAATTGACTTCTGCTCAGTAAATGATGCAAATTGATTAAAAAAAGTGACACTGTGAAAAAATGTTCATATGAAAAATTGATGTTTTTACCATATGTTTGCGATCCGAGCATTTCTTCTGCAGAGTCTCTAGTCCTGTATGAATTGTCTCTGCTCGTTCTTTGATTGTGGTCGGACTTTCCATTTGGCTGGCCATCTTCATGTCGATTTTCTTCTTTGTCGACATGACTTACGATCACATGCAATAAATACGATTGTTTTGATACTAATTTGTATTATGCGAACGACATAATACAGAAAATATTGTCGAATTGAATTCTGATCGTTGGAATACGTGAAAAAATAAACAAAATAACGTAAAATCTATAAGTAGAGATTAAATGTCGACTCTCACAAAATGATACTTAATGACTTCATCTAAATAGCGGTTCACAAACACAGTTGTTTAGACAATAAATACGAAGTACGTCCACTTTGCTAAACAACGTAAATAGAAATGATTGCGTATTTATTTGTACACTGAACACACATTCCAGTCGCTCTCTTTCCAATGAACGTATGACAGCTGTCGCAACTTGACCTCAACCAAGAAATTGCGAACTTGACATTTATATTCACCACGGTGAAACAATTTGAATTTTATTGTTACGTCACGCAATTAGTTTATATGCATTGTTTGTTTCATTGTATACGCAATTTTTTATTTTTGATGAGATTTTTACTGTCGCTTAGTTTTTGAAATTGCTTTTTTGGATATTTATTCTTATTATATTTTTATATTGATTTTTTTTCATCGTTAAATATCACACAAATCGATCCATTTGGCTTTTTGTTTTAATTTTTTTGTGCCTTTTATTATTTTAGTACTTTTTTTATTTTAGTTACTATTTTATTGTAATTGTTATTCTTATTCTATTGAAATGACAATTGGGATATTTCATGGAAATTGTATGTAAAAAATAAATAAATTAGAAAACAATGTTTTTGTTGTTATTTTCCTTAATGCTAATCTAACTGCCGATGTATTATTTTGATTGAATTTTAATATGTAGTTAATTTTTACAATAGCATCCTTCGTGAGTGTTTTTCTTTATCCAATTTAGATGTTTCGTTACACGTGTATAAATGCCCGGGAAATTTGGTCGAGCACAGCCCATTCCTAGAATGGTAGAGAAAACATTGATTTTATTTATTTTTTCCATTACCATGAATTATTTTTAATTTTCGTGACAAAAAAAAGTATTTCATCTCTTTTTACTTTTCCGCACTAATGAGCGATGAGATGAAAATTCTACTCTGTTTACGTTAAAATCACAAAACATAGCATTATTATTTTTTTTGAATATTATTTGCCTTTCTCTTTGCTATAGTTTAAAATTTTGAGGTAAGTCAGACAAAAAAATTCAAATTGTGGGAAAATATAATTTTCGTCTCACGGTCCATGAGTCACATAGCTGCAGTAAAGTATTTAGTATGAGAATGGAACAAGTAGGTGCGAATCGAAAATTACCAAACGAAACAACCCCAACGATTTGATAGCGTTTATCTTCTCGTAAGACCATAAGTGGTCCACCACTGTCGCCCTTAATAATTGAAAATATATAATTATAATTGTGATAATTACTGTAATAATTGGATGTGAGTTAAATTTGAGAATGTGAAAAAAAGACAGTGTAACTGATATTTCAAATGCCATGTGTTTTTCGGAGCCTGCGTGATACAACACACATATTTGCATTGATCTTTTTTTTATTACATCTTTCATTGATAGTCGCCATCAATTTGAGAGTAGTGTACCATATGACAGTTGATTCAGTTCCATTGTTTCTTGAATAAATGTACCTGACATGAATCTGCTTTGCCCTCTGGAAATCCGGCACACATCATGTATTCTTTATTCAATAGAGCCGATACATTTCTGTATTGGGTGTGTTTAAAGCACAGATCGTTAGTCATAATTGGTAAATTGACTTCTTTTAATATGCACGATGAATTACCGCCTTCAGCGGTTGTTCCCCAACCGGCTACCTGGCCACACAGAAAAAAAAATTCAATAAATCAATTTATTTACGAAAATAAAAGAGAAAACATACAATTCCATCCCGTCCATTATAGTCTGAAGAATCTGAAATGCATTCGAAATAAATAAAATAAGATATAGCTATTGAAAATGATGAGATTGAGCTTACCATTGGTCTCTGGCAAACAGATTGGCTTTATGAATTCGCTGAATGGTACTGGATTCGACAGTTTAAGCAGCGAAATATCAGTTCCAAAAATGGGCATGAATGTAAACGATGGCGTTGTTACTGAGGCCACGTATGACGACCATTCGTTCTTGCCGGCTCCGCATTTGTCGTGCGTGCCGAGTACCACCTTTACATACCGTTTTGTGAACCAGTTGAAGCTGAAAAATCGCAAAGAAATAGAAAGAACATTAAGATTTTTGTGGTTTTTACTTAATATCTTCCCTCTTGATCAGAGAATGTTTTGGAGCTACGCGGATAGACTGACTGGCAATCAGCGGTTTTGTTACCACGTGTGTATATTGTATTAAAGTAATAGAACAGAATAACTACATAGCTTATAAGTTGCCAGTAGGCGTATTTTGGCAGCTCTAATACATTCTCTGGCTTTGATATCTAATTTATGGACAGTGTCCATTGGACACCTATCGGCCACAAATAAAATCCAGAATTGTCACTATGCTTACGAATTAGTACAATGAGCAGCTGTGATCACGTGACGTTCACTGATGAGAGTACCGCCACAAAATGATTGACCGCGGTATGTTAATCGTGCCATCCAAGGATGCTTATGCGGTGTACTCTCACGGCCACTGCAATAAAAAAAAAGAAATCAGAAATGTTTCGAAAAAGAAATTTTTTCAAAAAAAAATATTATTTAATTTACCCAACGATTTTAAACCCTCCCTTTGATAATCCGCAAGCTGAAATGGTTTTAATGAAAGACAATGGTTTTAATGAATTTTTATGAAATCATATTATATTTGTGAAACTTACTGCAATCACAAAATTGATTATTCTCATTGTCTTTCGCGGTCGGAATCAACGTATTAAAAACTTCCCAAAGCGGTCCCACTCTTGAGCTACGAACTGCTGATGTGAAATTCGTCTTATTGATTTGAATTTCCATCGCATTTGTACCGCTGAAGTCGTTTGATTGCCCGGCGATCGCATGTCCAAATGTTGTGAATGTACAAATTTGCCATGCGAAAACAATGATTACAGAAAAAAATATTGACTGACTGAATGGCATTTTGATGTTTATCGGTCGAGCTCAATTTGTTGAATGAACGATTTTAAGTGTGATTTTGATATACTAATTTACAACTATGACCAAATTTAAACTACAAGTAAAACATCACAGAATTGGATCGAATTTTATGGTGAACAATTTTTTGGAATTTACTACAGTATTTCCGTAATTAGTCAGAGACGGGACGTGTGTCTCTTTCTACATTTCACACTGATTTGATTTAAATTACTAACTGAATTTGTCATGTAGGCACATTTACTTCACACCTCTTTTGTGATCGACAATTGGTCAATAGAAATGACCGATGTATCTTAATTACAGTTAATGACTTATTTGGCAATTTGTATGGAATGAATTCCATTCAACGAGTTACAAAATTTACTTAAAACTATAAATAATCGACTGGTTTTTCTACTTGACTAGTTGATCAACGGCAATAGCATGCGTCGCGTGTATTTTGTCGAATCCAATTGAGGTATCGTGTTACTCTTGTATAGACACCTGGATAATGGGATCGGCCACAGCCAATACCTGCGAATAAATTAAAGAAATGAGTGAAAAAGCAAGTCAAAAGTTCGAATTAATGCATTAATTTATTTATTTCATGAAATATCGATAAAAATAATAACTTTTAGAATAAAAAAAACATACCCCATGAAACAATTCCAGCAATTTCGTAGCGCTTGTCGTTTCGTTGTACCATAAGAGGTCCCCCTGAATCACCCTTAATAATTGAATTTAATTTGGTTTTGATTTAAATAAGTATTGAATCCTATCATTTGGCACTACTTGCGCCGTTCATATGAAGCCAAAAATTGATTTATGTGAAAAAAAACAGAGACTAACAGCAAATGTGCCTTATTGATTTTGTATGAGAGTGAAAGAGAGTATCTCAAACTTCGCCATGTCCGTTGTATTAACAAAACCTTAACACATCTCTATTACGTTTATCAATTCAAAAATCAAGAAGGAATGACGTTCCGATATATACATATGTATCGACCATCTATCGATATTTGATTTTCCATGAGCCAGAAATTGCGCCAAATGACACTGTTGAGTGTTTTCCTATTCAAATCTTAAGTTTGGCATATTCTTTAGCTTCATTTTGTGGTAGCGTAGCGCTCGCTAACGAACTAAAGTTAGCGACTGTGTGGTACTCATTTTTTTGAGCAACCGAAAAGTGTACTGTGCCGACACTCTTCAAAAAGCTAATTAATTTTAATTTTTTTCGTGCACATATTTTGAGATATTATTTAGTTGATATCGGCTGATGTTGCCATTCTTTACAATCAGAGCATATGAGAAACATATCGGTGAAAAAATAAATAAACAAAAGTACTGATCGAGACCCAATTAGACCTTTGTTTGAATGAATCTGCAAAGGCCGGAGCAGCTGATTGTAGCTAGATTGTGGTGGAAGAAATAGTACTCGATAGCAGCTAATTGTAGCCAAATAAAATTTAGTGAAAGTTTCGTGTGACAAAAATCTACTTGAGACAATCGATTGTGGACGAGATATTGTGGTATTGAATTACTTCATCTAGCTCGATTTGTTTGCCAATGTGCTATTAAAAATTGCTATTCACTTGCTTTTACCGGATTATGGTCGACTGTTGCCTGTGCCGTTCGTAAAGACCTGCACTATGAACGAACGTGTTCGTTCGAAGAGTCGAAATCTATATTCGTGTTCGTTCGCGTTCCTAAAGAAGGCTACTACGTTTGAACGCGTTCGTTCGTAGAGTAGAAATTGGTATTCGTGTTCGTTTGCGTTCGTAAAGAAGGCCACTACGTTCGAACGCGTTCGTTTGCAAGGTGGAAAGTGTTTTTCGCGTTCGCAAAGACTGGCACTACGAACGAACGTGTTCGTTCGCAAAGTAGAAATTGTTATTCGTGTTCGTTCGCGTTCAAAGAAAACCTTTAAAAGAACGAACACGTTCGTTCGCAGAGTAGGAATTGTGTTTCGTGTTCGTTAGAGTTCGTAAAGAAGGCCACTACGAACGAACGTGTTCGTTCGCAAAGATAAATTTCGTTTCGTGTTCGTTCGTTTTCGTGACGAACGCGAACGAACAAGAAAACGAACGCTCGTTGACACATCTATACTGAGATCAAGTAGTGCATACAGTGGTCTTTGTAGAAAAGTAAAAACACAGAGGCGAAAAATTGTCATTGGACAGTTGGACCGATATAACCGTGAAAATGAGACATTGAATTTGACACTTGATCAACGCAAAAGCAATTGAATATAATTACCTGACATGAATCTGCTTTGCCCTCTGGAAATCCGGCACACATCTATTCGAAAACAATTCAAATATTAAGATAAATTTTCCAATAGAATTTCCAATCTATTCTCACCATATTCTCTGTCACCATTCCCGATGCGTAGCTACTCAACTGAGTACATTCCAAATTTGTGAGAATTGGAACTTTTACTTCATTTAGCACACATGTCTGTGTTCCATTTTCGTCCGTTGAACCCCAACCAGCCACAACTCCTTCTGTTCCAGCATAATGTAATGCTAAAAATGACATAAAACGATTTTAATTTTGTGATGAAAGTTTTGTCACATTACTTACATCTTCTGTTTGGCAAGCAAATGGGCCGAATGACTTTGTTAATTGGCACCCGATCGTTGAGTCGAAGCAGCGCAATGTCATCGTTATAATTGCCAATGTTGAACGATTGCGATATGGCTCGTAATACGTATCGGGCTTCTGGTAGTGCATTTGGGTCACATCGATCATGCTCCCCGAATGTTACTTTGATAAAAAACCACACATAACTAAAGGAATTGCAAAAAAATATTTATGAAATTCGGCGTTAATGAACCCAAATAAATTAAGTTTATAAAAGACAATACACAGACTGAATGAAACATGTTGAAGTAAACAGAAATACCAGCCTTAAAATTGTCTCATTTTTTTGGCCACAAATAGTTTTCATCCACTTACTTCCTGACACAATGAGCCGCACTTAGTACGTAACGGTCATTTATGAGCGTACCGCCACAGAAAAATCGACCAAAAATTGATAATCGAGCCATCCACGGATAAACATTCCTAACTGTCTCCTTTCCACTGCAAATAAACGTTCAAGATTTATTTTTATTATTTGTTTTGATAAATTAGATGAATTTTTGTTGTTAAATGGGCGTATTTTGCATCCATACCCAACGATCCGAGTTTCAACATCATAGTTTCGTTCGCCACAGCCTAAAAAAATGAAAAAAGGTAGAAATTTAACACAAAATCTATCGGAGAATGAATGTTTCCATCAAATATCGAAAACAAAGTATTAAAACTTACTGCATCGACATCGACTTGGTGGCGTGTCATGTGATGGTGGACGATTGTTAGTAAATTCAGTCATTGCCATACTGACAAGATATTCCCAACCAGCAACAAATCTGTTTGAGCTTGACCCAGATTCGATTTCATTTGTCACGGTTGTATTGGCCGCTTGTCGTTCAAATAACGACCAAGCGCTCGATTGACATGTCAGCACAATCCAAATCATCGGCCAAATCTTATATGGAAACTGCATTTTGGCACTAGAATAAGGAAATTTTTTTATCAAGTCAATTTGTATTTTGATGCAATTAATCAAAGATTTAAATTCGATCGAACCATAAACAAAACAAAAATCTCTTCGTACGTCCTCATTTACCTAGTCGTTCTTTATATTCTTCGATAGAATCGAACTCTATTTATAAATCTCTATTTCTCTCTTTTTCCCTCTCACTCTCTTTCTATCACTCAATGGCTCTTTTCCATCTATTCTTTGTATCTCTTCTTTTTTTGACTCTTATTCAATTTACTATTATAAAATATTCACTTATCTACTCCCGATCTGAACTCAATTTAAAATCCTATCAAATACTATTCTTTTTCACACAAAAATGATGGCTAATTCGCCGATAACATTTGAATTAAACTGAAGAATGAAATTTGAAATGCAATGACTTGATGAATAAACTAATTTTTCCCACACTCTTTTACTGGCTCAATGCAGGTATACCTTCTCTATGCATGTTTCAGTTGTTGCTTTGATATCGATTACATTCCAAAATCGCTTAATTACGAACAGTACTTAATGAATGTTAGTTGTCTGAAAAACCTATAGGTTTATAGAGCCAACAAATGCAATTAATAATTAGTAAAATTCATTTAATGAAAGACAAAATGTACACACGAACCTGTTATACAGCTCAACTTGCGGAGTTTGTCGATTGAATATAGCCGAATCGTGTCGACTTCCTCTCTCCTTCTCTCATGTTTTTTCATCTCTCTGCATATCTCCCTCCTACTCTATATTTTTCTGTCTTTCTTCTTCTCCCGCTTTCAGTATACCATACCTTCCATCAAAAGACGTTTACCGTTGCCCCGGAAAATGTCACAAATCTATCGGTCAAAATGTGAATAAACAACATCAAATCAAAAAATTAACGTGTGAAAATATTGCCAATTGGAAAACAAATCGATTGATATCTTACATCGTCTGATCGATTGAGGTTAGAATGCTCCGATTGGTGAATTCACATTTCTGTTTCCGTGATTTCACTCAAAAGACTTTGATATTTGTCGATATCATTGTGAACTATTCGGAAAAAATGTATTTTCATAAAATTATTATGTTGGGCGATACCAATATTTGTTTACTTTGTTGTTGTTGATGCTGTGGTGAAAATGAACAGATCCACGCGGCCGGCATAATATATAAACAATCAACTGGTGAAAAGTCCGGTGTGAATTGAAATATTCCAATTGGTAAATAAAAAAACTATGACACAAAATGGATTCTATGTATTCGACACAAAATGGGAAAAATCACATCATTTTTACAGCTTCATTCGCAGAATTTCTCTTTTGGTTGGATTATTTGAAAAAGTTTCTTCTATAGCAAACTAAACAGTTTTTTTCTTTCATGACAATTGTGTAATGGATACGCCGTCACGTAGAACAAATCAAAGAAACACGTTCCGTACATAGACTGTTCCGCTGTTCAGTTGAGGTACCGTTGTTGCTAAAGCAACACACACATTATGCATACAAGCATAAAATAGCACTGACAACCGTCTCGGCTGCGGTCAATGCAAACAAATACAATCATACACAGAAAATCACGCCACACTATATAGTCAGTCACATAGTCAAGGCAAACTATCACTGGACAGTAACCACTTGCGCAAGTGTTAGTGAATGCGCTTAATTGTATGCAAAAAATCGTCCAGTTTCTCCATCTCTCATTGTAGCCCCATTCAATTCAGTTTTTTATCTCTCTTCAACTTATTTTAACGTGTGCAAAGCACGATCAGTATGGAAAATCATACATTTTCCTTTAAAAACAAATATTCACAAAAAATCATCCTTCTTATTAAATTAGTAAATATTTTTGTTTGCACTGTCAATGGAATATAAAAGCCGGTCGAAATAAGATCAAATCAAAGACTCTATACTTTTTCAAAGGTTTGATAGTGAAGCATACACACAAATGTCGACAGCCGTCATCTGCGTTGGAATTCAGTGCGAAACGATATACGCACATTCACACAGACGGTGCCAATTCAGAAACATACAAATATGTGTTTAAACTCCGATACTATGCACTACAACAAACATACGATCTTGTATATCGATAGCCGAATTCTTAGCCGGCTATTTCCTTCTCTGTCTTCACCATTCTATCTCTTTTCGTTCATTGATCAATGCGGCTTTGAAGTGCCATGCATGTTTTGCTCCAAACAAGAGACAAATGTCTAAAGAAATGAAAAGAACTTATGGTTGGAAGAATCAGTTTTCATTTTCAGTCAATATTTATGCTAGATTTTGATTACAGGAGAAGGTTCAATGGATATGTTTTATTTTTATTTATGAGACAAGCCTCTCTTTTTTCTCTCTCCCTCTCTCTCTCTGTGTAAAAAATACAACGACAGGCTTGATACCACGAATAGTATTGATTCCCAATATATGAAACGCAACAAAAACAGCCAATTTTCAATCTCAAATGTTCAGTTTTATTTGCATAAATTTCCAGAAAGAAAAACCAACAATTCAACTGAATATGCTTTAGTTTCTGTCCATCTGCCATGGTCTTTCTGCCAAGGTGTGCTTCCTTTGATGTCAATTTCATAGTCTATAGGCATAAATGACACCGTCACGCACAAAAATCAGATTCTGTTTGATCATTTCGTTGAATTGGTCATCGGTGAGGCCAGACACACGGCAAACGCTTGCTTCATGGTGATGCTCTTGTTGAATGTGTGCATCGAATAGATCCACTCGGATTTTATATTCACAATATTCGCAGAGTCGTGAATGCATTCTCAATACATGATTGGGCAAAAATTCATTTGGATATTTAAATTCACAATATCGACACTGGTGCTCTTCGAGTTCATGCTGTTCCATCGCCCATTTCGGTATATCCACTGAACAGTACTTACAACGCAACCATACTTCTTTATCCGAATCGCTATCACGATCAATTGTTTTACTCATATTGATGCCTGTTGAAATTTACCTAAAATGCACGAGTTTTTTTGCCATTAGAAATCACATTGCGATTTCTCCAAGTAATTATTAATTTTTTTGCAAAGAGATACGTACCAAAATTGTTTTTCGAAAGTGCTATAACGGGCAGACGTCAATTAACAACTGTCGGGTGCCAAAGAAAATACGCTGTTTTCCACAATGCGACTTTTATGACAGACAGTGGCTTTCTGTATGTACAATTTACATCAAAGGGCAAAGCGAGAAAGAAAGCGTCTCACGAATGACACAATACATACATAAATGTCACAGTATGCGACACTGTACGCAGTGCTGCAATTGTTTGTTTAATTTTTAATACAGCGGACCATGTCGAGAGAAAAAGAAACAATTATTTATGACTGTATCAGAGTTTTACCACAAGATAAAAGACAATTTCCAATCCGTAATATCAAAATTGGGAGAACAGAAAAAGAGGGTAATCATAAAATCTTTCTATTTGCAATCCCTTGCTTGATATTTTCTTTACCTTGTTGTTTTACGAAACCATGTCGCTGTAGAATTTCCTCCATTGACAAAACCGAATACCAAGCTCAGCTATTTTGATCTCTTCAATAATTCTATTTGCTAACATCGAACTAACCCTTGAAACGTGTAAACTTTCACGCCTTTGGTGGCATCCGTATATTTACGTTTTTAGCTAGAGACTGACTTCTTTTTTACTTAATGAGTGAACTGTCTTATTTTGGAAGTTCCAACAAAAAAAAAAATAACCTTAGAAAAAAACCAAATTTACATTATTCCTTCTCAGTCTTCAACCATTTGACACAAATAAAGATGCATACAAGGGTTAAATATTATCTTTTCCATAAAGGCTTCTTATTTAGATCAACAAATCGAATATGAACAACATATGTAAAAGACAACAAATCGAATATGAATGAAAAACGATGACACTGGATTTATTTGAGTCTCAATGGGTCATTTATTGTGTGCTGAATGTTGATCAACATTAAAATACCGAAAAAAGTGTTGAATGTTCAAATTTAAATGCAACATCTTTGCCACGATATACTGATAGTTGAAAAAGGCAGTGCCAATGCTTAGTGTGCATTAAATCACATCAACACAAATCAATTGACAAGTTAAAGCTGAGGAATGAGAATGCATATGTTTTGTGAAAATTCAAAACAATCGAGTTCGTCATCAAAATGAATTCTGATTCAGATAAAAATTCAATAACACCTAAAAATGAACAGCCATTGATTTTTAAACGATAATTCCCATTTATTCAATTGCATCTTAATTGAAATCATTAACCGAAGATCTCAAACTGATCTTCAATTTGAATACCACGAGTGAAACTTTTTTCTGTACAAGAGCGCCACCTTTATACAACGCGGATGGCATATGTCGCGACTCCGGGTGTATGTGTATGTATTTTGCAATAGAATGTTCTCGTACATGGTACTTCATACATTGTGACGCCATTATTCGTCCATTTGGTTCTCGTGCGCACAGGGAGAAGTTGGCTTCTTCCTGTGTAATTTTTTTCTCAATTAATTGAAAGTAGTAATTCGTCAAACGTGAAATTCTGGCAATTTTCGAAAGTTTTTCATTTACACTGTCAATTCCACAGTAAATATCGATTTTTCTCAATTGCAGAAATGCAATTTTTGATAAATATTTATTTTTGCATTGCGACACAGCAAAGCAAAGCAACGCCATCATGATTATTCCTGGTAAAAGACGCCAAGTTTAAAGTAAGAATTAAACATGTGCTTTGCACTTTTTTGGTAGACAATTTTAGACATTTTCCGAACTAAATATGAATGATTATTGAGTTAGCAGTTTTTTGAAGGTGGTTTGAAGCTACCATTTTCGTAATGTTTTTCCATCTTTTCATGATCGTAAAAACTTCAAGGTTGGCGCTATGAATACACCAACAAAATTTAGTTTGCTATTTCTACTTTTTTCAAATCAAATTTTCTAGATACCGGCGAAGCTAAAATTAATTTATCCAGTTTTGGATCGATTTTTTTGAAAAAATTTCATGGCAAATTGGTTGATGGCTTGAAAGTTGATAAACAATATGTTGAGAATATGTGCTCTGAAATATTTGGTTAGTTTTCGAACTTTTCAGAATTCAATTGCCACCTATTGCACTGATTCTGTGTAAATTTCCATAAGCAAACAATATCCAATAAGAGCTGAAATTTCTTGCCGCTTTGCTTTTTATATGATCCTGAAAGAGAGGTGGATAAAGACACAGAGAAACATTAGAACACACAAACACACTCTTCTCTTTCACTCTCATACAAGAAGCAGCTGCGCTAAATTTGATGGGATTTTTCAGCTGATTGAAAGTATTTTAATGTCAGAGAGAAACATGGAACAAAGAGTTGCTCCTTACGAAATAAGATTTGAATGAAAGAAATGAATGTAAGAAATTTCTTTGTTAAGCCTAACAAACAAGTTGAATGAAAAAAAATGTGTTTGGTTTTATTTTATTTATTCAAGGGGCAGTAATCATCGAAAGGCAGTGGAAACAAATGCAAGAACGCAGTGTAAACGACCGACTTGTCAATTCTTAACGACTATTTTGCTTAGCCATGCACTTTTCGACTGCATCAGAAGTAGCGATTGTGTGTTGCATTGAAGTCTGCACACACACACAGGTGGCACGCTCATTTCAACTTGGAATATGGAATCACCTACATGTGTTGGTGCCAAAAAGATCGATCCCATTGGCCAAAGGTATACGGTGATTTCAATGTATTTCGCGTTTGATTTAAGACCACCCCCATCGACAGGTTTTATATCGAACATTAGGTCTGCAGTCGTCAATCCGAAAAGATCACATTTTCAGCTGCTCTTTTACGGAAAAATCGCAGTTTCAATTTAAATACACATTTGCAATTAAAGTACAAATTTGAGAAAAGCAGATACATTTTGAGGAACGCATTTAAGGATTTGGTCACATTTCAGGTGATTTCTCTGCATTTCTACACGCAGTTTTGAGCGAATTTGAAGATTTTGTAGTTGATATCAAATCATTTTCTGAATTGATGTAGTTCTCTTTGAGATTTAAAGATTTTTCTATGAAAATCAACACAAAATCATAATAAAAATTGAGAGAAAAATGTGAATTTTAAAAAAATATGGAAAATTTAGTGATTTTTTTTAACGAATAAAAAGCTTCTTTCTTTTCTTGAGCGTAACAATGCGAATTCATTCAAATGCACGGTACCTGAATCGAATCGATTGTTCCTCAATGAAAATGTGATCAATTTTGTTCAGAACAAAGAGTGTATTCATTCGAATCATTCAATCATTTTTTAGAGTATCATTGTCTAACGCAATCATTTCATTCGATGTTTTTATTGAACAGTTAACAATGGCTGAACCGATTATAATTGAAAATCCTGAATTCAATTTTCACTTTGAGTTTCGAAATGTGGCATTTGCAAATGGTATTCAACATCTGTACCAAGGTGAAAAGCAATGTGACGTGACATTCGTCGTTGAGGGAAAAAAGATCATGGCACATCGCCACATTCTGGCGTTCATTTCAGACGCGATGGCGCATCTTTTTGAAACGTTGCCACAATACAAAGGAGTTGAAGGTAAATTTGAATAAGATTTGAACAATTTAAGCAAATTTGAGCTGAAAATTGGTCGGTGATCTTTATTTTCTCAAAGCAATATGCAACTGATACCCGATTTTCTTTTCTCGGTGTCCATTCAAATGTGTTTTTTCTCTTTTTCTCATTCGAACAGTGCTTTGGGAAGGCGGTTCTTACGATTCGGCAAAGTACATAATGCAGTACATTTACCATGGCCTAGTCAAGATTCGTGTAAGCGCTAGGGGCAATTCACTTAAAAATTACCTTTCTATTATTTAATAATTGTTATTGATTCTTTTTCGGTTATTTTCGATTATTACGATTATTTGTCTATTATTTTAAATTAATTCTTTTCTTTTGTGATTCTCCCCTTAGGTAAGCGATTTGAAGGGATTTGTCGCCGCAGCCCAGTTTTTCGATGTCAAAACCGATCTTCAAGATTTGAATTTAGCGTCGATAACCAATGTGTCGGGCGAATACGTTGAAATCATTTACAATTGCTGGGGCGAAGAAATGGCAAACGGATTCCAGAAATTGTACACCGAACAAAAGCTTTTCGATGTGACAATTCTAGTCGATGGCAAAGAACTGAAGGCGCATCGTCATGCTCTGTCAGCCTGTTCATCGTACTTTGAAGCAATGTTCAGCGCAGCCGACATGGAACGACAAATTGAAGGTGAGTTTGGGAATATTTTTTCACTCTTCAACCAGATATAAAGGCATTTGCCGAAAAAACGAGAGTCATTTGAATGAAATGTGTCGAACATTCATCATTTCTTTTGAAACTAACATCCAATTGTTGTTGTCCCTTCATTTTTTCCCTCCTAAAGTGGTTTTCAATGACGATGACAATGTCACATATGACTCCGTGCAGTGTGTATTGCAATACATATACTTGGGCGAAGTGAAAGTCAATGACTTGATTCCATTCCTAAACACTGGTGAATTTCTGGAAATCTACGGTTTGAAGCGAGCTGATGATCTTCGAGCTAAACGTCCCAGCAACAAAAATGTGAGCTCATTCGACATGTACGCTGGTTCAAAGGACATCGTTCGCAACGAAGACAAAACAAATGCCAACGTGAAGACAATAAAGATTACACAGAAAGCATCAAAACCGCGCCGTAAAGTGGTAGAATCTGACGAGGATTCTGAGCAGGAATCGGAAGAATACAGTGCATTTGAGTCAGAAAGTGACAGCGATGAATTTGATTTGCCCCAACGAAAGCCGACGAAACCTCGTGTGGCGCCGCCGAACCGAATGACACGAGCTCGAATGCAAAAAATGATGCCCAATCAATGTCGAAATCGTAAAGGTGTTGCTGTTCACATTCCATCGCAACAGGTGAACAAAGTTCAAGGAAATCAAAAGCAATCAGCGGCTGTTCGTCAAGTCAAGCCACGAAACAGTTCGAAGCAACATGTTGGTAACACGAAACTCAATTTCACGCAAGAGGAAATTGACATAATTATGTCTCTCCGAATGAAACAAGCTCGTAGTCATATGAAGTTTGAGGAAAAAGATGCAAGCGAAGAAGCAGTCGACGAAGTGAACAAACCAACATACCAACAAAACGATTACGTTTACGATGAGACCGAAGAAGCTTCGGCATCCAATTGGAAGAAACCTGATGAGGATCAAAACAACAACAATCGACGAGACAATAGCACAGGGGACATGAGCCAAGGTTTCAACGAATTGTACACTGATCAATACTACTGTAACTCAGACGATGGTGCTGTTGGAGGCTATGTGTATGCACGCGAAGAAGGTGATTACGATAAGAATATGACCGAAGAGTCGTGGACTTATGGAAGTCAAACTGATGAACAGTCATGGGCAAATAACGATCGTACAACAGCATTTGAAGACGATATAAAAGCACCGGCGAAAAAATCTAATGATCAAACATTCAAAACAAAGCGCTCTGGGAAACTTGGTGTGGGAAAAAACGCAGTTCCGCTAAATGATGACGGTTTGTACTCTGCTTGAATTTGATTTTATCTAAAAAAAAAATATTACATTTTGGTTACACTCACAATAATCATTTTCAACAGATTATAACGTTGAGGCAATTTTCACAACAACAAAAAAAGGCGCTCACGCATTGGCTCTTGGTGGTAATTTTTTCATTATATGTTTTCGATTATTTTCGATTATTTTAAATTAAATCGATTCTTTTCTTTTGTGATTCTCCCCTTAGGTAATTTGTATTTGGTTAATAGAAGAAAAACTGGATATAATCGATATCAGTGCAACTTCCGCTTACCAGGGCCTGAGCATAAGCGCTGTTCCGCTTACGCTTACACAAAAGAAATCAACGGCGTCACTATGGCATGCCTGCCTTCACCTGATCGGCACAGCCATGCACCACGTTACTAAAACAATTTCCAATAAAACTTGATTTTGTCACACAATTTGGCATAATTTTTAAGGTTTTCATTATATATAGTTTAACTTTGAATCAAAAGCAATCTTTTAGAAAATAAGATTCGCTTAGAACTCAACATTTCATAATTTCGATGAAAAATAAGGAAACATTTGTTGGAAAACATCATATTTATAATCATTGTACCAATATTTTACTTTAAATAAAGAATCCTTCATTTAAAATGTTCCATTTTTGTTGTCGAAAGACACTTTGGGCTTATAAAGAAATTACTCAACTTAAGTTTCAATAAACATCATTACATTTCTGGTTTTTACATTGAAACCAAACTCACTGCGCAGCATTGATGATCATTTTTGTCATAGTTTTCTCTTCATCTTTTGCTATTACTGTGAAAAGTTGGAAAAATTCATCCAAAAAGCAGAAAAGGGACATCATATTTGATTTGGAGGATTCTTTACTGAATTCGACTTGAAGAATCATACTTACAGCTTCAGAAAGGATCATATAAAGTGGAGTTAGGTTAAGATAAAGTCTGTAGAAATAAAAGAACCATTTGAAATTCAAAACCAAAAGATTTTATTCCAAAAAAATCGTTGACGAATTGAATTTAAATTGAAAGAGAATTGAGTTCAAAATGTGGAATTAAACGCATGAATTCGACTGTAGAAGCAGTGTAAACGTAAACATATACTCAATTAAGTCGCAAAATTCACAGAGTATCCTGATTTGCTGCTGCTCAGCATATAGCTGAGAGCTGAGAAATGCTGAGCTCGTGCGGCTAACGCATACGGAACGGATGCACGATACATATTCCCCTTTCGCTTCGTATGTGCTGCCGTTGACGCTATTGCCGGTACAACGGTTACACACTATACCAGCGAACATACGAAGTGAAAGGGGAATATGCATCGTGCATCCGTTTCGTATGCGTTAGACGTACACTTTCAGAATATATGAAAGACTGAGAGCAAAAACAGCACGTCGCATCTCATCTCTTGCTTTCACTTACGTAAGTGAAATAACGAGGGATGCGATGTGATGTTTTTCTCGCAGCTTCTCATATGTCAACTGGTTACAAAGTTTTGAGTTTTGAATTGAACGTCCAATCAAATGTTTATAACCGTTTAAACGGGGAGAATGCATGTGTGCGTGCCATCCGTTTCGTATGCGTTAGCCGCACGAGTTCAGCATTTCTCAGCTCTCAGCTATATGCTGAGCAGCAGCAAATCAAGATGCTCTGAAAATTCAGTTACGTCGAAATCTACAGAGGCGAAGTATTTGCTTTATTTAACGTGGTAATGCGCTCGCATCATTCTTAAATTGATGATGACCATAAAATAAAGAGGAAAGTATTGAAATTTGGATTTTCATTGAATATTCGGCTCATAACTCATTACATCGTCATGATAGCAACTACTTGCCATCGCGAACGCCCTCATAAGCTCCAAAACGCAATACATATTGACAAGCGTATTTCATTTATTCGATGACAGTGACCAAGGCGAAAGCTCACAGCAACTGTTCCGTAGGCAAGTTGCACACATATTACGGAAAAATTTGAACAATCTTCATAAAACGTAATAATCTCTATTATTTTTGTGTAAAAAACATTTTGGTACCTATTAGAGAGTAACATAGAATTTATAGTGGATTTTCCTGTTTTTGCAGCAATTTCCGAGGTAAAATAAAGATATCTAGTTGATTAGTGATGACATAAACTCAACAGCAAGGAGCGTGGAACACCATTTTTTGCTTTGACGAATTGGAAACCATACCTTTATTTGATTTCCAATTTATCATCGTCAGATTTTGTCGCCATGAATGGATACAACGCAAATGAGTTGCACCACAAGTCAGATGGTCGCGACCATTCAATTGAACGCAATGAGGTGTTGTTGGAGTCAAACGAAATAAAACAAGAACTGACCATCAAAGAAGAACCTGAAAGGGAGGATGACATCACTTTACACACGATACCAAGAAATTTTGTTATCAAATCGAACATCAATTTGCCTAGCACCGTATTTACGACTGAGACAGATGACTCGGATCAATTGATGCAATTAAAGTTTGAGGTTAAAGCGGAAAAAATGGATAAAGATTCTTATGCCAAGTCGAAGAATCAAAACGATGCTGTGAATTCTTCTTCACGTCGATCAAATAAAAACTCAAAGTTGACAGGTGCCAACGCAAAGAAGAAAACGTCCAAAAAGGGAAATGTGTCTCGAAAGAGGAAAGCAACAACGTCGAGTGCAACACGAAAACAACACAAATGTTTATCATGCGAATACACTACACCATATACGACCTGTTTGAGAAAGAACATGCTACGACACACGGGTGAAAAGCCATATCCATGCAAGCGATGTTCAAAACGATTCACAGAGAAATCAGATCTTAAGCGGCACATGAGAACACACTTGGTTGAATTTCACTTCAGTTGTGCAAATTGTTTGGAAGGATTTGATAAAAACATTGACAAGTTGATACACGAGTTTGATTGCAACATTCGTCGCTACGAGTGTCATCACTGCAAACAATTCTCCACTTTTTATAAGTCAAATTTGAAGAGGCACATTCGTATGCACACAGGTGAAAAACCATTCAAGTGTGGTCAATGTTCAAAGAAATTCAAGCAACGATGGAACTTAATTCGTCACACAAAAACTCACACCAATCCACGTTCATTGAAGATCAAGTGTTCGGATTGTTATCAAACCTTTTCGACACAGGCTCTTAAAGAAATACATAAACAAAAGTGCCAGCGCAGAGGCTATGAATGTTATCTCTGCAAAGAATTTACCAGCAACAAGAAACACAATTTGAAGTACCACATGTGAGCAATCCACACAGGTGATAAAACATTCTGTTGCAAGATGTGCACCAAATGCTTTGTTCAAATTTCAAACCTCAATCAACACATGAAAAATGTCCACAAGTAATTTCTGAAACTGAAGACCCATTGTGTTTTCAACAGCTCTTAACAGCTTATCAAAATGAAAAAACTGAAGATGAACTCAAATGTGTTTGCAACAATTTCTTCTTAATTTTCCAAACACAAAAGCAAAATTTTTTCATAAAACTTATTACCATCCCTTTATTATTGAATCTGAATAAATGTTTTTTAAAAATATGAATAAAGAAACAAAAGTCGGAACTGCAGGAAGAGAAGACTTATTTGAAATAGAAATACTTATTTGGAGTTGTCTCAGTCGATTTCTTATTTATAAACTTTATCTTGAAAATAATCTGTTTCGAACATTTTATTAGCAATTCAATGCTTTGAACTAGCTTTTGAGTGCACTCACCACATTACATGTGATTACTTGGGAAATGCTTAAGCTGATACTTGGGGTTGGGAGAATCGTTTCAAGACAAAGCAATAGACGAAGAGCCTTTAAAATGTTTAATCTATTTAAAATATGTTGTAAGTTTCTAATCTGTGTTTTAAACGTGGCGTAAATTAAGCGGTCTTCAAGAGGATAATAGTTAGTCATGATTTCAATATCATTCATGATTGATGTAAAAATTCTACTTTCTAGTAGTCTCAATTCAATTTCAGTAGAAAGGAAAATTATTATTTTACGTTCTGGTTTGATAATCAAGCTTCTTAACCTGTATGTGTGTGTGATCAAACCTTTACTACTTTCTTACTACATTCTATAAATAGCTAGTTGATATTGTGATTATTTCAATTGCATATAATGGAAGTAATGGAACAGAATGGAAAAAATTATCGAAGGAATAGATCATGAATTGTAAAGTAAATGAACGCACCCAGCGAATCAAACTGTCACAATACCATATACGCCATTCTCTCATTTTATTTCAATTCATTCGGTCTACAAACATTTCCCAGCAAATAATTGCGCAATTCATTTGGACATTGATCGGTTTTCAATATTCAACAAATAAATCATATTATTAAACGTGAGATTCGTCAAGAATGTAAGTGAAGCTTTCAATTTTTCGTGAAAAAGATTTTATAAAATAGCCTGTTGTAATAGCGACTCCATTTTTGATTTCATAAGAAGAAACATTTGGATGTGTAGATTTGAACCAATGTTTAATGTATTCAACAATTCATAGAAAGTATATTATTGCCATTTTCAGACCGACTTCGACAAGTTAAAGTACATAAGGTTCTTCGGTCTGTCCACCTCCATTTGATATTCGTCAGCATATTTTTGCCAACAAAATGTCCAATGTTAAGTCGAGTGACTATACAAGTCACATTTTCTCATCAATTGGCAAGTCATTGTATTTGAGCGACGAGACCACTGACTTTCATTTCATTTTCGAGACCGGCAAAACTGAAGTGGAGCTTGTTCCGGTGCACAAATTCTTGTTGTCTGCTGCCAGTTGCGGTTTTCGTGCAAAGTTTAATGGGGCATGGAAGGAGATGTCCAATGTCATAATCGACGACGGCACGTCTTCTTCGGCTTTTAAAGAATTTTTACAATTCTTCTACTTGTCCCATGTGAAATTGACTGTGAACAATGTTACCGCGGTGCTGCATCTTGCCAAGAAGTACGAAGTCGACGAATGTGCAAAGGTGTGCTACCAATTTTTGGAACGACATTAAAACGTGGCAATGTAACGACAGAAGCAGTACTAACCATTCGATTTCATCATTATGAAGAACAAAAACAATATTTCCTATGCAATTCAACATTTTCAAAAAAACATTTTTTTCAATTACAACCTTTCAATACATTTTGAACATTTCAAATTTGATACATTGCAGACATTTTTCAAAATTATATGTTGAGAGAAACTATATTAACCCATTGAATACCAATTTCAGAAGTAGCTTTACTACCAACTGAACACTACTTACTAAGTCTAGATCATTTCGTTGATGTTAATTGACATCAGGAGAAAAAAAATTCATTTCAATGGAAAAATCAATTTCATTTGGCAGCAAATACCACTCGAATCGATAGATTTGATCATTTAAATTAGAAAAAAAATATGTTGACTTTGACTTTTTTGGTTCGATGATTCAATAATATGACTGGAAAATCATGTTACATTCAAGAAAGACATATATTATTGTATTAAATTTTAACGTCAATTATTATGGTTAATTATTTTTTGAAGTAATAACCCGCCATTTGTTTTATTCAGTGGTCACTAAATGTGATACATCACTAATTACAAAATTATAAAACTCATTGGTTCCGTATAGTGTTTGGTAAAAACTCTTTTTAGACTTCAATAAAAACAAATATTATATTTTATCACCTGCATTCGAATTTTTTTGTTCAAGTATTTGCACAAATACACTTCGTGGTAACCAAATTATATACCGAATTCAACACAGACAATTGAAATAAATATTTCAGCGAAACCATATCCGACCAAAGCTATCGAACGACTTAACGTATATTTTGCACACAGAGTAAATTTCAAACAAGATGTGCATTTGGTCCAAAACTAGGTAACTGGCATCATTACATTGTTTAATGGTTGAAAAAACGACCCGACCCCGACCATATCAAAAATACCTTATTTTGCTCAGTTTTTTGACTTTCAAACCAAAAAAAGTGTATAAAGCAGATCATTTTGAAATCCTATGGACCATCATTTCTAGGGTAATTTTTTGCGCTGAATCCGAATCTGGCATTGAATTTGCTCAAAAAATGATTATTAACCAAAGTTTCACATCAATACGGTACCACAAGGCATGTCCTTCATTCAAAAATGAAATTTTTTGGGATTTTTGTATGAAAATCGTGTGAAAAATTGATTGCATCTTAAAACTAACATCAGATTCGGGTTTCTCGTGCCAAAAAAACCCCCCACTACACATTCTTTCAGCGTTCAAATTAAAAGAATATCATTTTAAGGCATTTTTCTCATGCCTCTTCAGAGTCTAAGTTTTACACCGATCAATGTCGTTGAAAATTTGGCCAGATATATTCCTCGTAGTGCCCAATCATCCCGTAAAGTCAGATTTTGAATTTCATGTCTAAGCACGAAACCATCGTGTCACCAAAATGGTTGAAAAATGATCAAAAAAGTAAAATGTAGTAGTCCCAAATCATCCTGCAAAGTCAGAATTTGAATTGAGTTTTTGGAAGAAGACTTAAAAAAAACTTTGAATGGGTTTGAAGTTGTCGTCGATTGAATACACATTACTTGAACTTTTAATTTAAATGTCACACTCAATTTATTCTCAGCACCAACCGGACGAACACCATCTTATTTGCGCACCAAAGTAATATTTACACAATTTCGTTCTTATAATTGTTGTTTAATTACGTAGTTAATCAGATAGTCAGTATTGAAAATCAAACAGTCGTTATTACCTCGATTTTCGTAATATACGGTAAGTACAAAAAGAACAGCGACATTGTTAATGAAAGCAGAGAGAATTCGACAAAAAATGACAAGTGTTTTTGTGTTTTGAAAAAGTAAAAAAAAGTCTTTATTTTGCCGGATCGTATATATTTTGTTGTTGTTATGCATTAATTTTTCAAGCATATTTTTGAAACCAATTGAAAGAAACCCATTAATACTTTTCTTTTTTCGTCAAAAAGTTTTCAAGTAAAAAACCTATTTTTGCCATTCACATTCTATGCTGACTTGATTCAATGGTTTATATTGAATACTTGCTAACTTGAATTATTTTTTTTTTGTTTTGCGTTTGCAGTGGTGGAACAAAATTCATTTTTTCAGCGATTTTATCGTTGCTATTTTGGATACGCTGTATAACAAACTGTACGAGTTTTTTGATTGAAGGTGGTGCGATTTCAAAAATTGTATGTATTCTATTTTTCAACAAATAAACAATTTTTTACTCTCTTTTTCTAATTTATACCTTTTCTTTAAAGAATAATCAAATCGATTCGTCATTCGTTGAATTTTATCGTATCGACTCACATAATGAATCGTTTCACCCCAAATCAGAACCAAGTAAATCGAACAATCTTGGTGAAAAATGTGCTCCCGCCCACTGAAATTTTTTTTGGAATATTCGAAAAAAAATGATTACAAAATCATAAAAACTCACACATTAAAAAATTGTGAGCCAAACAGTATCTTTATAATTTTTGATACGGCCGAACAGGCGGCAAATGCAATAAAATTAATTGATGGTAGATTGTATAATGGGCGCCGCGTCAACGCGCTTCCGTACAAAGACCCAAACGAGGCGTCGTTGGTCGGCGCTCATCCGAAACTATTTACTCCGCTGCCAGAGCAAATCGATCGAACAATAATCGTGAAAAACATTCACAAGCCATTTGATGTCAGTTCTCTGCGAGCACTGCTCATCAATCCGAAGGATGATTTATTTCTTGATCAGAAATATTGCAAATTTATGAATATTCGGCCGGTAATTAAATATTTTTTTTTTAAATATATATATTTATATATTAAAATTGAGTATTGTTTATTTTTTTTGATAAAATAATCTATTTTTTACTCTTTCCATCTATTTAGGAATAAGTGGAAGAACGAAAGGGGTTTTTGTCTTCATTGTGTACCATGTAAAGGAAGATGCATGCCGCGCATTGGAGCTGATAAATAATGGCCGCCTGATCTTTAATGGGACTCAAGAATGAGCGTAACGTTTGATAATTGTCATATAAATAGCTGAACTATAGCACAAAATTGGTGTTTCATTATCTGATTTGATTGATTTTTGATGTGTGAAATTGTTTAGGTATTTTTGTGTAATATCGAGACCTTTTCATTTGTTCGTCAGCTTCTGACCCAGGGTTCAAATGGAGACCAACATCAATCGTCGAGAGAATTAAACATTAACCGCTCTAAAAACTTTGGCGTCCCCAACTATGCATGACTTTAAATAAAATATTGGGAGTATAACTTAATTATTAGCATTTTTCGTCAGATGGCGTAAAATACATATTCCAATTGGAATTACGATTTCAATGTATTTATGTCGAAGTACTGTCAAAATGCTTTAAGAATCGGCATATATCATTTGGTCGAATTGTAAATGTTGTTAACAACACAATTTTTTACTGCATCGAATATGTCTGAGTTCATTTCGAAAAAACATCATTTGCGGGAATTTAATTTTTTTCACTTTAATCCAATCAGAAATGCATGCTATCATTATGGAACCTTGAGCTTAACAAGATCTTTCGATTCCAACACAAAACTGTTGAATTTGGTGAACACTGAGTGGTGAATTTGGTGTAAAACGCCAAATTCACCAAAAAAATGCTAGATGAATTATTTCACTCATTTTTGCAAAAAAGTCTATGTTAAATGCATGTAAAAGTTGTGGATTGACTAAATATGAACAATGCGATTGATACCAAATATTTACATTTTCTGAAAGTGGTGAAAATTGTAGCGAATTCGAATTGAAGGAAAATTTGGTTGAATGGCAGTATAAAACTAATCAAATGTCGCTCTAAATTTACAAATGGATTCATTTTCGTATCGAATTGAGATTGATTGTAAAGGAGGGATCTATTTCAAGAATTTCAAGCATAAAAAATCATATGTGAGTTGAGCTGAATCACAAAAATTGACGTGAAATCCAAAAATTCGTGATTCTGCAAATTGGGTGACGTAATCAAAATTGATCGAATTACAACTCATCAAAATTGTTACAGATGATCTTTATTGATGTCGACTGATCGTTTTTGCTAAAAAAGTAACAGAAAAATTACAAAAAAAATTGTAGAAAAATGACTTTTGCAAAATCATTAAAAATTGTTTGAAAAATAAATCGATAAAAAATCTTTATCTTTAAACCCCCGCTGTACATCCCTGTATACTCACTAGACATCCCTCTTTCTGAATACCACTCATTTCAATCGATGCAGTGCACCGTTTCTGATGTGCAAAATTTAAAAAAGTCGGAAAATGACTCGGTCATTAGATACCCAAAAAAACTAACAGTCCTTTAGACATGGAATCCGAAAATTGTCTGAGAAATGGGGAAAACTGATGGCTAGCGATGGACATTACTTTGAATGATGTATCCATTCATATAATTATTAAAATAAATGCCCATTTCGAAGAAAAAAACGCTAATAATTAACTTATACTCCCAATATATACTCATGACCATTTTGACGCAAGTCATTCGAATCATCTGATAATGGTGTCTGAAGCGAATAATTTTATACAACGGTATACTGCACAAAAAAGACCAAGAATATGTATTAAACTTGTTAATTACTTTTCATAATTATATCAACCCCTAAAAAAGTTATTTAAAATCTGACTTAACAGGATGATTGGGGGTCCCGAGGAATGGAAATCATTAGATTTTGAGTGCTTTTGGTTGATGGAAAAAAATTTCATGCCTGTAGTGATACCTATGAAAAAGAGTCCAATTTTCGTCCAAAAGTCATACTTAATGTAGACTTAAACACTCAAAAATATGTATTGGGGGTTTTTTTGGCACGAGAAAACCGAATCCGACGTTAGTTTTGGGATACAATCAATTTTTGATACAGTTTCCTTGAAAATAAAATGTCTTACATCCGTAAGATGAAGTTTTCCGCACTGTGATCCACGACATGCATTTATTACAAATCTTTTACTCAAAGAATTCACAAGAAAACTGAATCTGAAATTACTTTTACGATAAAAATAATTTTCGAAGCACTTAACATACAAAAACTACTAAAGATGGGAATTTTTGTATCGGAGCCATGCCTATATGATATCGTTATCATGTGAAAATTTGCAGAGGTTAATTTTTCACAAAAAGTTAACATTTTGAACGTTTGAAGAAATTTCAATGCATATTAAGGGTACTTGCCATACAAAATGTCGTTTTTGAGCGAAAAATGCAAAATTTTGTTCGGGAGGTACCCCTAAAATTCGTTGAAATGTCTTCAAACTCTCGGAATGGTATTTTCGTGTAATAAAAATAGCCTGTGCAAAGTTTCAGCACATTACGATATCATACAGGCATGGCTTCCATACAAAAATCCAAATTTTTTGAAGTTTTTGTATGAAAAGTGTGTCGAAAATGAATTGTATCCCAAAACCAACGTCTTATTCGGTTTTCTCGTACCCAAAAACCCCCCAATACACATTTTTGAGTGTTTAAGTACACATTAAATATCACTTTTGGAAGAAAAATTGAATTTTTCCCATGGATGGCCATAGGCATCACACCAGACATGACACGTCACTCTTTCAACCAAAGTCGCTCAAAATCCAATGGTTTCTATTCCTCGGCACCCCCAATCATCCTGTGAAGTCAGATTTTGAATTACTTTTCTTGTGTGAAAGTTATCGTGTTAACAAATTTTTACGCACATACATTCGGACATCGAAAAAACGCTAGATTCGTGTTCCCTGGCCCCAAAAACACCCAGAAAACACATTTTTTATGGGTGTTAATTTTTCGACCGATTCCAATACTTTACCTTACACACTAGGTGTGTGCGGAAAAGTAAAATCACAAAATTGAATTTTTGTATGGGAGCCATGCCTGTATGCTACCTTAATGACGTGAAACTTTGCACAGACTATTGTTTACAAAAAAAAAATAACATTCTGAAAGTTTGAAGAGATTTCAATTAAAATTAGGGGTACCTCCCAGCTCCCATACAAAATTTTCATTTTTGGTTCAAAAACGAATATTTTGTATGGGAGGTACTCTTAATTTTGGTTGAAATTTCTCCAAACCCTTCGAATGTTATTTTTTTGTGAAAAAAATAACCTGTGCAAAGTTTCACGCCATTAAGGTAGCATACAGACATGGCTCCCATACAAAAATCCAAATTTTTTGTGACTTCATAACTAAAAAAGTGTTTCAAAAATAATTTTCATGGTAAAATTAACGTCAGACATATTTTTTTAGTGTTTTGTTAGAAAATAGAATACTTTCAAATGTCGTGCAAATGGGTTCATCATGAAAGTGTGAAAATTCTTTTCTCGAGTACTTCTGATATTAAATTAAAGAATATTTCGATGCCAAGGTTTGAACATATGATTTGGTCTCAAACTTTACGCCGCTTGAAAGGCTTGAAGAATCGAACAAATATTATTTTGAACTTTCTTAATAAAATACGCAACGGAAAAGTTCGTCGTGCGGAAAAGTTCGTCTTACTCCTGTAAGACTCTTTATTTTTATTTATTATTATGATTAAGACATTTGAACAATCTCTAATTAGGATTTTTTCACAAAGAATTTTTTTTCGAAAAAATTTCTTTTACAAACAGTTATTATTTATGTCAAAAACAGAACTTCGTTGAGATTCTTTACAGTTTTTCATAAATTCTAATCTTTTTTAGCTTAATAACTAAAGCATTGAAAATGCATATATTTGAATATTGAATGCATCGTCTTTAAGTCGTCGAGGGATGCTTGCTTATTGTCTACATAATAACCTATTCCATTGGATTAATAATAAAAAACTTGACATATCTACTCTTCGTTTGATCATTGCATTGATTCATTAATTTAAAATTGCTCCAATCAATAGAAATAAGTGAAATTAAATTCGTGTCTTATGTGATTTCTTTTTGCCCGCCGAATCTATATAATTCAAAAGATCCGTCTTTGACCAAATTATTATGCTTTCTTGGTTTTTAGTTTTGACATTCAACCCCTTGTTACTATTGAAATAGTACCATTGAATTTGATTTCTTCCCTTTGCTCTTTCGGCGCATCCAAATAATTTTTTAAAAAATGGCGTAAAATCGCATTGAATGTCAATACTTCTGCCAATTCTCTTACATTTATCGAATCTATCTTTTTTGCTCATGCCTTTCCAAGCCTGAATTATGTTGTTTTTCAATTTTCGTTGATACAATTTGACCAAAATATCGGATTTCCGTTGTGTAATGCACTCAACATCGTGCATAGTTGCATCAACGTTAGTTGCTTTACAGATCACCAAAAATATGGACGACAGTTGTTCATCCGTTTGGGTATTTGTGATTCCTGTAATGCACAAATTATTTCCAAACGAACTCTGTAGCATTAGTTGATTTTCGCGAAGTTTTTTTGTCAACACCGGGGAACTCTCTTGATTCGAAAAGCAGTCGTCTAACTGTTTCTTTTTAATTTTGTCTCGTAATGACCAAAATGCTGAACTTTCGTCAAAAGTTGTACTCAACAAATTTTGGTGATACAACACCAGTCCGTTCGAGAACATGAGTTGTGTTCTGTAATAGTAGCGCTCCAGGCGATCAATTAATTGACTTAAATATTTGTGGTGCGTATCTTTCAAATCATGTAAGATTTCGTCATGAGCTCTTGCTCCATTGATGTTCACAGTCACCTCTGAACATACAGAGCATTGAAATTTGAAAGCATCCTGCTCGATATGGTCAAGAAACGAAATCTCAGATATTTTCTTAACACTACGACAATGGCCACATTTAAAGGCTGTTATTCGTGTAGGTACATCACTGGATGCTTTTGTCGCATTAATTGTGAGCAGTTCCTCGATTTCGTTTTGCGTTAAACAAACCGGACTGTGAATGTCGGCGAGATGGTGTGAAGTATGCTTTTTCTTCGAATGTTTCACCATTTCTGACGAAGAGAAAATCTTGTGGCATAGACCACATTTTGATTTATTGTCTTTGTCAACAACAACAAATACTTCCGCATGATGTTGATGCTTGTGATGGGCTCCAAGTGTAGAAAACTTGTCCACCCGATCGCAATAGAAACAGGCAGCTTTTTTAGTCGCAATGAATCGAAACGGCTCTCTGGCAGGAATATGACTGTTTTGCCAGTGCTCATACACTTTTTCGAATTTAGTGGTGTAATAGTGTGGCATGCAGTAAAAACAGGCAAACATTATATCTCCCTCGCGAAAGGCAGGACTCAATTCTGAAAACAAAACAAAAACCAATTAAATTTAAAAATAAAACAAGATTATTCGTGTTACACATACCATTCTCTCGAACATCATCATCAGTATTCTGTAGGTTGGTAGTTTCACTGTCAATATCCATGGAGTTTTCGCGTTTAAACGATTGAAATTCAATCGGTGGCACTGAATGATCAACATCTTCCTGATTCTTCGGCTGCTCTGGTGGTTCAGTTTCCGAATTCAAGGGTTCTTCCCACACTGGTGATGAAATGATGAATGTTTCGAAGTCCATTTCTTCCTTTTTAACCCAGTTCATGTTTAATAGAGTCGGATTGAGACACGGAACGGGTGATGCCATCGGTTGATTTGAAGTGGTCGGCGAACATGTTGATCGCCGATCGATTGAAATGTTTGAATCTAATGATGGGCGGACCCTTTTAACCCTTTCAGAACATTGATTGACGGATTGATTGTGTTCATTGTTGTCTATTGTCTCAGGTGCCGGGTTTAGGACATCCAGAAAATCCAGCGATTCCTCCAAACTGAAAAGCAAAATAAGGAAATTCGAATTTAATTCATTTCGAAGGAATTTTTTTTCGTGATTTTGTTGAAATCTTTGTAAATTTTTCTATCGATATTTTGTGGATAAAATCATTTAAATAGTAATGCGCCGCAATAAATCCATCCACCAATCAAAATCCCTAGTAAGTCGAACGAATTTCTATCCATCTAAAACTGAAAAAAATGTCTTCTTTTTCAGTTCATTTGTGTTAAAGAAATGTGTTAAAATCGTAAACTTCTCAATACTGCATTTTTTCGTAAATTGAAAATGGAAATGTGGTAAAATATTGGTAAAAGATAACAAACAAAAAATTCGTGCGATACTAATATTTTGATAAAAAAAACTCTGTATGAGATAAATGTATTTTTAAGAAGCGACATGAAATCCGATAACAACTGAACGTTTCATAAACATCTGTGATTTCACAAATTCGTTATTTATCCAAATGTTCCCATTTTATCCGTTATTTACTTTCAACTGTATTTTTTCTGGGTTTAACCCAAAGATGTGTTTACCAATTTCTACATGTGGTATATATAAAAAGACCCGGATCATTTTTGAGATAAGAAACAAATAAGTTGTCTTTTGACTACCTATTCCAAAGTTCAAAATACTGTAGAGTGAATCTATTCATTTATTCTAAAAAAAAACTCAAAATATACTGCATCAAATTTCGTCCAGATGAAATCGGCTAATATGTAGAAAAACTCATTTGTTCAATCGATTTTCAATGTCAAATAATTTACCTATAAACGTGATAATTTTTACTTGTTCATAACTAATCAACTTTTTACCAAAGACAACACATTATTGCTTGAATTTACTTGTCTTTCATGACTTACAATAATAAACATCGTAAATAATAAGTCCATTGTGGGAAATTCCCTTGCACATTTTATGGCTCTTTTTAATATTCTTTTCTATTTTATCAACATGCCACTTGATCGTAAACCGAATACCTATTGCTGTTATAATTGCGAAAAATTCCCTCTTTGATGAAACTCAATTCACAAAATTCTGGCACTAATTTTCTGTATAGATTTTTAAAATAAAACACATTTTATACGATATTCCGTGTGATAGAGGTGTCCAAATATTTGATATAGAACAATACTTTCCATGCGTATTTGCACCAAACAAAACAATGATTTTACATGCTCACCGGCCTTTTCTCTGTGTAATACGCACAATTCAACCAAATTGTATTTTACCGCTTCCACAGACAAGTGGGTATGTATAATTAGTGTCGTACGATTGAGACAATGCTATATTTGGATCAAATACTATATACGGAATATCGTATAGAAGTGTGCGAATATTTCATAGTAGGCGAAAAGAACAAAAAAAGAGCGCTAGTTTTCTCTTCATACACACTACACAGTTGAACAATTATTTCATCATTTTACCGTGAGTTGATGCTCTTCACGATGAGTTCTCTCTTTTTGGTGTCAAATTTTTGTCCAGATTGTAATAACGCTTCATTTATTTTTATCAAAGCGTCTGTTGTCAGCTCTTCGAATGCTGATATATATTTTTTGTGGATTTCGGCCCAGGTCGATGTCATTTTTCTATCAAATGTTTGTCACTTTTTGCTGCAAATAAAGTTTTTCTTTTTAAAAACAACACACTCCTCTTTTCCGCACAATATTCAAATTAAATATTATTTCGTTATGCAAATGTAAGTCTTTTTCACCAGAAATTTTTTAAAATTCAGTTTGCGTCACAACACGAAAAAGCCATACACGATTTGCATGCTCTGCTTCAAGCAGTTTTTATTTGGAGCAAAAACAATTTAATGGAATTTTAGTCAATTCGTTTCAAAAAATGTCGGCGACTACGTTCTGTTGTTTTTTTTTTGCACATTTTTCAATTTGATTAAAACTTAAAAAAAATCAAGCAAAAGCAAACCAACGATATTTTTATCCGAATTAATTTTTACATGAACTCAACCGTGTCGGACTAGTTAAACAACGTAAAAATAAATTGGATATGTAATTCCACGCGCTCTGATATGTGTTTACAACAGCAAGTTTGAACGAATACTGTTACGAAGTTGTGCATTTTACGTAAAATCCATGACGTTTCAGTTCCATTTCACTCTCATATTTTGCTTTAAATACAAACACATATACAATTCAGGCACATGGATATGTTTTACGGTTAATTGCTTTCATGCGTCTTGTGATACGACACAGAACATAAACAATGCGACTCGTACCCACTTTTTTCTTTCATGTTTTCTTTTCTCTTCTTCTTCACGGATACAAAATAATATTGAAAAAGTAAATGCGCTCAAACTGTGTATATAAATAATGTTGCTTTCACTGTGAGTAAGGCACGCCAATTGCATATCTGTAAATTGTTGATCGAACCGATGCATTTACGGTTGATTTTTTGGCATGTTTATTTTCCGTTTCGTTTTTTCTTTGTTTCTCATTCTTTGTCTCTGTTCATCGCTGATAAGATACATTGCACGCTCTTCAATTGTACTATGTGTACAGATATCGGACCAAAGTCGATCGGAAAATTTTACGATCGAAAATAATTAAATTATTAGAATTATGAACGTGAATTTGTGCCGCTGATTTCAAAACTGTAACGTATTGGTTCCAAACAATAACGCATACAAATGGTTTCAGATTAGGTTGATTCGTAATAATAGGTTTTTATTATTATTTTTACCTATTTAAGATGTGTGAAAGGCACAAAAAAATATTTACATAGAAGTATTGACTGTTTCCTTTGGAAGTGAGTAAATGGATGAGAACAAAACATTGAATAATTTAGTGTGAATATTTGACTCGAATTTTGGTTTAATAGCTTATGAAATGCAAAATTAACGAAAGAAAATTGAACGAAAACTTCACTCTTATCGAAAACGGCCCATGAAATTCGTTTCGTATATTGTGAAATTTGATTGGTTTTAAACATTGAATTATGTTTTCCACCTACAAGTATGAAAGAAATTTAAATTGAGTCGCAACGTCGCGAAGCATCAATGAAACAATATGATTTGCGATTATGATTAAAATTAATGCACAAACACTTGAAAAAAAGCACAACGAATTTTTGGTTTGAAACACTTCAATTGAACACCAAATAGGACGTTAACACAACAAAAAGTGAATCCAAATTCACATCATCTTGCTTTTATACCGTTTAAAATGTGATCTTACCGGATGCATTTATCAAAATCGTTATGTAGACTTGTTCGCCAATAAAAATTCCAGAAAATTTAAAATAAAAATCAATTCAATTTTACAATTTTTTCAAAACTAACACATTTTTTCACTTCTCAAGACAACTTTTTCTGTACAAGTCGCGGGTCAACTTTAGCATTCGTCGAGACAACTTGTATGGAAGATTGGATCTGGCTATCTGACTAAAATAGCAAATTTGCCCTGTATTTATACTGATTTTTGTCAGCTTTCCCTTTTTCCCACTACAATAATTTTACAGTTAAGTCTTACAGTACAATCTCTTAACCATAGTGTAAACAACAGAAATCTTGCTTAATTCGAGGTCATCATACATTTTTCCGTATTATCAATAATATACATTGTAACGCTCTTAATTAATTCTGGTTTTCTTACACATAACATTGGCCCCAAATAGCAGCATTATAATGCTTTACATACCGTGGCTCAACATACAGCATCTCTGTATATTGTCGCCCATTCCTCTTTACCTCATTAAATATGCATACGCATGAGACTCATCGTTGTCTCATTATCACACGTTCGATCAACAGATCGCGTATCAATGATAGTGCGTATCATCTTAATCCAGTTTTCATATGTAAACAAAGCATTCGCTTTTACATTTTTGTAACTGTTTTTTTTAACCTTTTAAATCCAAATTTTGGATTTAAACAACAATTTTCCAGTGTTAATTTTAGATTGGTCAAACCATATTTGGTTTGCTTCAATTTTCACACGATCTACAATCTAGACCGCTCGTTCATGCGAAAAAAATTATTTTTCTATCTATTTCGGTTTTTGATCTGAATGTGGTAGATGACCGATGACGATCGCGTCGAACTCTTACATAATTTTCGATAAACAAATATATTTTTAGCCAATACTCAAGATCGCTTTGGTCAGCTATTCTCCGAAATGGATCTCAAGCTCTTCTCTATGTGCTTTCTCTTTTTCTTTCTAAACCAAATTCACTTAATTTAAATCAACAAAACAATTTTATTTAAGCAAAAACTGAACGAAATACACTTTTTTACTCTTAACCAATTTACAATAAACTTTTAATACTTGAACTCTGACTATAGAGTCATATTTTCCTGTTAGAACTTATCAATTGCGGGCCAACTAAAGTCGGAACAATTTCTTTGTCTTTTTTGAGTTTATTAGTCGCGGGCCAACTAATTCTCAATAGAACTGAAAACAAGAACTAACGAACTAACGAACCTTACAATTCTGATGTTTATTCATACTAAAATACGACCATGAATTGTTTGATTTCCCACTCATTTTAACAAAAGCGAAAGGCAACTTAAATATATATTTTTATTCTTTCAATAATTATCTAAAAGTGAAAGAATAATTCACATAGAATAAAACCTAATTGCTCAATCTGCAGCACAATTTAATGTTATTCTATTGCATAATGCAGACATGATTTTAACCTATTGATTTCGTTACCTTGCACTATACTACAATGGTAAATATAAGCATGTTTCTACGCTTATCCCAATCTGATCATTACAAACGTAATTGATCATGTTTTTATGATTATTCCAAAACAATCTAATGTTTCGTATGCTTTAATGCTTCAGTTGTCTAACTCTTGGCATATATTCAATTATAAGAAAAAATCACTTTTGAATTCGATTTTGGAAAGGTAAGATAAGTTTCGATTATAGAATGTAACTTGAACTTCGAATTCGAACACTGTTTTTTTTTTAACTCAAAAGGCGAAAGAAGTATGCCTTGCCTTTATACAATTTTCCAGCATATTTGGTTTGCTTCAATTTTCTCATTCGTGCGAAAAAAAATATTTTTCCATCTATTTTGATTTTTGATCTGAATGTGGTGATGATCTTGATACGTGTCAAACTCTTGTATAATTTTCGAAAAACGAATATATTAATATTGCGGATAACGAAGAACAAACCGTCTTGGATTTGGATTGGTGCTGGAGAAATGGCACCAAATCGGCCATGGGGCATAAAGAAGC